TCTTCACTTTTTCCTCCATTTTGCAACCATACTCAACCATTCCTGTGAGCATCCTGATAACCAGTGTTTTGAACTCTGCATTTGATAGGTTTGCTATCTGTTTATCGCTTAGTTCTCTTTCTGGAGCTTTGATCTGTTCTTTCATTTGGACTATATTTCTTTGTCTCAGTGGGCCAGTCACATAGGAAGAGGCAGGGCCTTAGGTATTCACCAGGGCAGGGCAACCCAGTTGGCTGTGTTGTGACAATGTATGTGGGGGATCGGTCACAGAGGGAACAATGCCACTTGCTTGGCTCCCAGCTGGCTTTCAGTCACTTCCCCTGCTACTCACAAGCAAACTGGGCCCTTCTAGTGCCAATCCCCAAGTGGGTGGGTTTGTGTACATTCTAGGACCCTGTGGGTCTCTCCAACGAACTCTTCTGTGAGGCTGGGAGTTTCTCCTGCCACCACAACCCCCCTAGATTTTACAGCAAGAGGCTTTGAAGCTTTCTTTTCCCCCGCTGAAACCCTGGATTGTGCTGTCTTGCTCCCCTGTTGTTCCTCCCAGCTTATCTGCCCACAAATGTGGGACCGCCGGGTCCTCCAGCCGCCACCTTACTACGTATCCTCTCTGCCTCGGCTGCCTGTATCCACCCTTCCTCCTGCTCTGGATGACTGTTTCTTCTTTAGCTCCTTGGTTATCAGACTTCTATACAGTTCGATTTTCTAGCAGTTCTGATTATTTTTTGTTTTTAAATTTGTTGTGCTTCTTTTGTTTGTGCAAGGAGGCAATGTGGCTACTCTGTTTCCTATATTAACATGGATATTCTGTAACTACCTATTTTTACTTCTTAATCTCTTCATGAATTCTGTCCCACCACCCTCACATCTGGCAACCACCAAAACATTCTCCATATCCTTGATTCTGCCTCTGTTGTTCTTGTTTGCTTAGTTTTATTTTTAGGTTCAGTTGTTGATAAATATGTATTTTTGTCATTTTTTTGTCCACAGTTTTGATCTTTTTTAAAAAAGTAACTCCTTTTAACATTTCATATAATAATTTTTTTTTATCATGATGAACTCCTTTCGTTTCTTCTTGCCTGAGAAGATCTTTATCTGCCCTTCGATTCTCAATGATAGCTTTGCTGGGTAGAACAATCTTGACTATAAGTCCCTGATTTTCATACTTTGAATATTTCTTGCCAATCTCTTCTGGCCTGCAAAGCTTCTTTTGGGAAATGAGTTGACGGTCTTATGGGAACTCCTCTGTAAGTAACTAACTTCTTTTCCCTTGCTGCTTTTAAGATTCTCTTTGTCTTTAACCTTTGGCATTTTCATTATTAGGTGTTTTGGAGTGGGCCTCTTTTCATCCATCTTTTTGGGGATTCTTTGTGCTCCTTGGACTTGCATGTTTATTTCCTTTGACTATTTTTTTAAATAGATTTCCAATTTCTTGCTTTCTTTTCTCCTTCTGGAACCACTATGATACAAATGTTGGACCTCTTGAAGTTGCCCCAAAGGCTGCTTATACTATCTTTATTTTTTTTGCTGGGGGGGAGGATTCTTTTTTTCTTCATGTTGTTTTGATTAGTTGTTTTTTCCTTCCTTATGTTATATATCATTGATCTGATTCTCGGTTTCCTCCACTCTACTGTTGATTCCCTGTAAATTGTTCTTTATTTCAATTAGTGTATCCTTCATTTCTGACTAGATTTTTTATGCTGTTGAGGTCCTCAATAAGTACCTTGAGCATCTTTATAATGAGTGGTTTGAACTCTGCATCTGACAGATTGCTTATCTCTATTTTGTTTAGCTCTTTCTATGGAGTTTTGATCTCTGTTCTTTCATTTGGGCCATGTTTCTTTGTCTCCTCATTTTGGCAGCCTCTCTGCATTTGTTTCTATGTATTAGGTAAAGCTGGTTTGATCCTGTGTCTTGGTAGTGTGGCCTAATGTAGTAGGGCTCCTGTAGGTCCAGTGGCACAGCCACCCCTGTCACCCAAGCTGGGTACTCGAGGTGCACCTTTCATGTGGGCTGAGTATACCCCTCCTCTTGTAGTTGAGCCTTGGTTGCTGTTGGCAGATCAATGGGAGGGATTTACTCAGGTCAATTACCAGCAAGGACTGGCTGTGACCAGTGACCAGTGACCAGTGACCACCAACCTCCACTCTCTGTGGAGGATCAGCTGTGCAGGGGCAGGGTGGTGGCTCTCTGATGTAGTCTGTAGCTGCCCACTGGGTGTGCTGGCCCTGGGGTTTCCTGGGTGGTGCAGGCCAAGGTCAGCCCCCACCTGTGTTTTGCCTGGGGTACTCTACCTGAGCTATAAAGTGATCTGAGATGGCTGCTACCTGTGCTGGTCTTGGAGATTCCCAGAGAAGCCAAGCTATGAATCTAGGCTGGCTGCTGCTAGTGCCAGGCCTGGGGCTCACTGAAGCCAGCTGTTGCTTGTTTGAGAGGATTTAGGAACCTGTGAAGCATGAACCAAGACCAGCCATTCATATGGAAAAGCAGTCTGGGTAGACCTGTAAGTCAGGTGGGGCAGAGTCTCTGGGTATCTCCAAGGCGGGTCAAACATCATTAGCCAGGTTGATGGAGTCTCAGATATGACACCAGCTTGCCTGCTCTGTGGGGAAGGTTTAGAAAAAAGAAATGGCCTCTGCTCGCATTGATGCCAAACACTTCAGTCTCTCCCTGTTTACCACTGGTGCCCTTCAAGGTGTTTCCCTGGTGCTGGAGCTCAGAGGGAGTGAGTCTGACTAGGTGAGTCTGTGTGTTGGTTCTTTAAGAGGAACTGCGTGGGGGTCCAGCAGTTTCTTCCACAGACTTAATCCCTGCTGGTTTTTGCAGCCAGATGTGGTGATTTATCTTCCTGTCACTGGAACCCTGGCCTGGGGAGGCCTATTGTGGGACTGGGACTCCTTGCTCCTGAGATATCTCTCCCAAATTTTTATCTAACACATGTGTGTGGGGGACTAGCCCATTCCTCATCTGCGCCTCTCCTACCAATCTGGATGGATGTGGTTTCTTTAATTCAGTAATTGTCAGGCTTCCATTCAGCGCAATCTCTGACAGTTCTGAGTGATGGCTGTTCTACATTTTAGTTGTAATTTTGATGTGGTAGTGCAAAGAGGTGAGCCATGTCTGCCAAAGCCACCATCTTGACCGGAAGTCACATCCCCAGGGATTGAGATGACAACAAATTGAATATTAAATGCATAATAGGAAATAAGCCCTCTCAGTACTTCAACCACATCTTTCAAGCCCTGTTTCTGAGACTAGAGAATTCTAAGCTCCATTTGAGTGTCACTATAAACTTCTCTTTGTGCCAGATGATTTTAGCCGCATATTTATATTCAAAGTACAAACAACTTAAAATGTTTACACTTAGTAGTAATGGAAGTCATGTGTCAAATACAATGGGAGGAAAAAGGGTAAAGCTCTCTTTAGAACTGAAGCTTGAAGATACACAATATCTTTGGAAAATCTGCCTTACAAATAAGAATGCATTGTTTACCTACACCATTTAATTATAGAGAACATACATTTTTACCCTTTGCATACAATATTTAAAGTTTTAGTTTTTAGTTTTTGGTTTGGTTTTACTCTGCAGTGTTGCCTGAAGCTCTGGATGTCTGTTAGCTCCATATACATACTCTCAAAGCACACAGCCACACACTTTCCTGTCATTTGTGGTGCCCATTTCCTTTAATCTCCCACTCCAAGGGAGACCAGTGAAGGACTCACCACCATGTTCAAAAGCAAAAGAGCAAAAACAGTGAAGAGAGCCCTCCTCAGGCCTCAGAATGCTCTGGGGGCTGCCGGTTGTCAGCTTTCCTATCAGCAGAGTAAAGACTGGGAAAACTACAGGAGGCCAGGAAAGACTTGGCATCTTCCCACAGGGAGCGAGTCCTCTGAATCTATCACTAAGTACAAGTCTTTAGTGACAGCTTCTCCGCAGCCTCTAATCACCAGCAACTCAGGTAAAATTGCTCAGAAAAGTTCCGTAGAGGAAATAGTATGCTGGCTTAACACAGCCCATAGCTGCCCTCCTGAACAGAACCCACCCTAGGGTCAGTGCTAAAGGGGTCAGGAAGATACCAATGGAAGAAGACAGCCACGGCTGCCGATAACTTTGATGTAACACGTCTTGGAGATGGACAGATCTTCATAACTCGTAGGTGAAGTCCAGCTTTTTCTGAGAGCCAAGTCTCCCTAAACACTTATCTCCCTCCACCTTGGTCCTTCTCATGCATCAGCCTCTGAAGTGGACTCAGGTGTCCTGCCTGAACACAAGGCTTCCGCATGCTGCACCCACCCCTCAACTTTATCTCAGCACTTGCCCTGTACAGTGTTCTTTGGATAGTGAAGACTACACTGAATGTTCACCTGAGCCCTCTATCTTTTTTTGTTTTAAGTCTTGGAGACACTGACACTTTCCTTTTGCTTTTCCTGTCACTTAGCAGAGAAAGTACTCCCATCTATCTTATTTAGGTAATTCTGTTTGTAACTCTCATGTGCAGAAAAGAGCATCCCACTGCATTCTTTTAAAAACATATATTCTAATTTTCAAAGAAGTTGGCACTTCATGAAAAGCAATTTTTATACACTCATTCGCAATTTGATTCCAAAGCTATATTAGCCAGGCCCACTGAAAATTACTCAGTTTCTCTCACTATCTCCCCAACACTAAAAACCTAAAGGCTGGGAATGTTATGAGAAAGCAATAAATCTATTTTGTAGAGTTGAATGAAAAAAAAATGAGCAGACCATTCTGCCATCAGTTTTTACCTTTTATATGAAATTTTCACTTCCCTGATCCACATAACTAATTTTAAATAGAATCTAATTAAAGCTAAAAGAACCAGCCAGCAACATATCTATAATTTTATACTTTATTTTAAGCTAGAATGTTTGGTTGCTTCATATACTTTGCATCTCACCCAGAAGTTCTAAGAAAAATTACTGAGCTAAATGATTATATAAATTGCATTATATTAACTGAGAATCTAAACACACCTTACCTGTAAATATGTTTCCAAGCCTTGTCGTCGTTGTTCCAACACTTTTGGGACCCAGTTCCTCACATGTTTAGAAGGGATTTCTGGAGTTTTAATACATTTCTTAAGCTATAAAGACAGAAACAAAAGAAAAAACAACACATGGAGAATGTCTCTTAATTATAAAGATGTTACGGGGGAAGCCAATAAAAAAAAAGTGAGCTGTTATCACCAATAAAAAGAGAGAGGAAAATATAATAACGCTGAAATTCTGAAAAAATTGTTGACTTAGCTGCCCTACAGTTCAGATTTCAGGATAAAATTTTTGGTGTTTTTGGTAGTTGTTGTTATTGTTGTACATCATCTGTATTTCAAGCTGGAATTTTTTTCTAAAAAATTAAAAGCTCAGTAAGTGAATTTTTAAAAAGTAAAAAGTTTATAATTTTTCAAATTAATTATTACAATGAAATTTTGTGTGCACGAAGTATTTTTCTGATCAAAAGTCTTTCTACATATTTTTCACATAAAAAAGCAAACCAAAATGCCATTGTGTATGATCATTACACCGTAAAATGCCATATGAACCAAACCACATTGTTTGTAGAGTTTCTTGAAAGTTTTATAATAAAACGAACTAAAAAACAGAGAGACTGATCCTTCCAACATTCCTAAGAATTAGGTCCAACTTCTGTTCATGAAAACTGAATGATGGTTCTCAGCTAAGCCTTTAGGGGCAGCAGTTTTAAGGGCCCATATAAAGGGAAAAAAATTCTATTGGAAGTTGAGTTAGAAATACCTGTGTTAGGTGTATCCTACTACATCCACGTACTAAACCTGTGAATATTACCTTACATGTCAAGGTACTTCACATATCTGATTAAATTAGGGGTCTCACAATGAAGAAGTTGTTCTAGACTATCCAGGTGGGCTCAATGTAGTCACAAGAATCCGTATGAGAAGAAAGCAGGAGGGTCACAGTCAGAGAGAAACTGAAGTGGTGCGCGCTGAGGAGGGAGAGGGGGTCATGAGCCCAGGCAGCCTCCGGAAGCTGGAATGGGAAAGGAATGAGTTCTCTCTATAGCCTACTGCCACCTTGATTTTAGCTCAGTGAAACTCACTTTGGACTTTTGCTCTTGAGAAGTATAAGATAAATTTGTGTTGTTTTAAGCCACTAAATTTGTGCTAACATGTTACAGCAGCCATAGGAAACTAACACTGCCCCCCAAATGGAATGAATTAAAATATTCTAATTAAAAACTTGGAAAACCTACTGAGATCGCTCCCTCACTACACATGCAAAGAAACAGCATAACAATCTCTAAGAAAACGCACGGTTAAACCCCAGCAGCTAAAACTATAATAAAAAATTCTTCCCATACATTAGCATATATTCACCATTAACCATTCTAAGCTAAATGTTGCACATCATGGAAAAAAGCGGTCTTCGTGCATTTCAAAGATCAGCTCTTCTAGTGCAAGACACTAGGCTGGGCCTGGGTTTGCCTCCTTCCTCCACACCTGAAGTGCCATTAAAATGATAGTGGGAAAGGGCTAGCTGGAACTCCAGACCTGTTCTTATCTCCCTCACCGATAGAACTATATTGTTGAGAATAATAATGAATTCTGCTAAGTTTAGTGAAGAAGCTAAATTTCCCAAACTCCCTTGTAGAGAGTGGAAGCCAAGGTAATCTCAGGAGTCACTGAGAAGGCTTTTTATAAAAAACTTTTAAAGTAGAGCGAACTCAGCCGGCTTGCACTTTCTATCCTACCCTCCTTCCACCGGCTCCCTGCCTAAAATGTGACCACGATGGCTGGTGCTTCCATGACCATCTGCTACCATGAGGCAGCTCTCAGGATGGAAGCCAGGTGTTCCAGATGACTGGACAGACAGAAAGAAGGAGCCAGTGGGCCCAACAGCCTCCTAAAGCCACCACACGGCCCCAACCTGCCCACCTCCAGACTTGCTTTTCTTAGATTTTATTTATTTATTTTTAAAGAGAGGGGAAGGGAGGGAGAAAGAGAGGGAGAGAAACATCAAAGTGTGGTTGCTTCTCGTATGCCTCCTACTGGGGACCTGGCCCACAACCAGGCATGTGCTCTGACTGGGAACTGAACCAGCGACCCTTTGGTTTGCAGGTCAGCGCTCAGTCCACTGAGCCACACCAGCCAGGGATGCAGACTTGTTTTTTAAAGAGGATAAACTGCCCCTCCCCCAAACATTCTTTTTAAGGTTACTTGGACTACTTTTTTAACCGGAATTTAATCTTGATAGATGATTTTTTTACAAAAGAAAGAAAAAGAAGAAAGTCAAAGGGAATAGGACACAGACCAATAGAACACAGCAGAGAGAAAGGCATAACCACCAAGAGAGAGATGAACAAATTACGACAAGACAGAAAGCAGGAGCATGGCGATGAAGAAGAGAGCAGAGGAAGCCCCAGTCCAGACCTCCTCAGGGAGGGGATGGCAATGGGGGTGGACCCCAGTCTTCTCAGCAGCGCTGAGAGGCTCTGTGCTCAGGGCTGGCATGAGAAGAGGTTTACATCATACCTGTGCCAAAGCACATTCTATCTCCACCCTCCACAGCAGAATGACTAGCAGCCTGGTTTTTATCCCTGGCACACACACTCCACCCCATTGAAAAAAGGATCAATGTCCCTAGAGAAAATGAATGAAGTGTTTGGGTTGGACAAGGGTTTTGCCATTTGAGTCATACTGGGGCTCATGGGGTTCCCAGCCTAATAGCTGGTACTCTCCCCTCATTCCCTGTAATGAGGTCCCTTAGTGACACACCCTACAGAAGGACCAGCCTTATATACTCAAAGCAAAGGAACCAGTGACAAATACCCAGAATAATTAACCTCGTTGGATGGGTAATCAAGGACCACTTTCATAGGAAAGCAGTACTATGGAGAAGAAAAGACAAGAAAAACAAATGGGACAACTAATCCCAAAGGAAGAAACATAAATCAAATAGCAGAAGAGTTCTTTAAAAATTCTATTAGTATCTTCAGGGAGATATGAGGAGATATGACTTCTATGAAACAAGAAGACATTGTTATAAAAAAGAAAAAAATCAGAGAATAAGAAAGAGACACTGGCAACTAAAAAACATGATAGATAAAAAATATTAAGAGATAGAATATAAAATGATACAAGTCTCTCAAAGTATAAAATAAACAAAATTAGAGAAAAAGTAGATGAAAAGATAAAACATGTATAGAATGAATCCAGGAAATTTACTATAAAGTTAATAAGTCTCCCATAACAAATAAGAATCCTCAAAGAATAAAAACGTTTTTTGTATAACTTCATGTATGCCTTCAGATTAAGAACTCATTGAGTGCCTGTACAATATATAAAAACCCCATATTACTGACATTTACCTATTGAGATTTCAGAATATCAAGGGCAGAAAAACAACAGAAAACAATTAGGTGGCAAACAAAGAAAGCAACTGCAGTGGCAACTGACTTCTCAGTAGCAGCAGTGAATGCTCCTGGAACCAGCCGCGCCATCAACCAAGTGTGAGAGAACAAATGCATTTGCAGATGTCCAAGGACTCAAAAAGTTTACTTTCCATGCCTTCTTTTACACAAAGTTGCACATGCAATTCTAGGAAACGAAGGTTAAAGCAAGAAAGAGGAAAAGTAGGATCTGGCCTTAGAGCCCTATCCCATCAGTGTGGGGAATGGAACTCCAAGGACCGCTGAGCACCGCAGCCTAGAGAAGCTTCAGTCCAGGCTGGAGCAAAGGGTCAGGGGAGGGGAGAGGGGAGCCTCGGAAGATGGTTGCTTCCGTGCAGTAGATAGTATGGAGAAGATGAATAAGTTTTAGAATTTTTTTAAAAAGTGCATTATTCTTTTGTCTATTAAAAAAAAAAAAATAAGTTCCAGGGAAATCAAAGATTCCCTGAAGGTCATGGAACAGAAGATACTCAACTCCTGTGTTATTCCAGTACTAGAGACACTTACATACCAGGAAAGAGATGAGAAAAAATGAACAAGTTAGCCCTGGCTGGTGTGGCTCAGTGAGTTGAATCCTGTGAATCAAAGAGTTGGGGTTCAATTCCGAGTCAATGCACATGCCTGAGTTGCAGGCCAGTTGCGGGGCGCACGAGAGGCAATCACACATTGATGTTTCCTTTCTCCCTCCTTTCTCCTCTCTCTAAAAATAAATAAATAAAATCTTTAAGAAAATAAACAAGTTAATAAGACAGGGTGAGGGCTGATAGTAACAGAAGGAGGGGTGTGTTGGGGCAGCTGGGGAAGGCATGGGGGAGGTGGGGATGTCTGAGTGTGACCTGGTCCGTGCTGGGAGGGAGCCAGGGACGGAGCTGGAGAAGGAATGTTACGGCAGGGGAAGCTCAACGGAAAGGGAGGCCCAAGTGTGTTGTTCAAAACACAGAAAGGAGGAGATGGGTTCAGAGAGGTGGCAGCTTCAGATACTGTAGGACCTTAGAGGCCAAGGTGGGATGTGCACATCATTTTAAATGGGAAGCAAATCAAATACCATATTTTGCCATGTATAATGTGCACCCACGGTTTTTGTGCACATTATACACAGGATTATTATACCCATGTATAATGCGTATCCTCATTTTTCCCTCAAAAAAACGGGGCAAAAAAGTGTGCATTATACATGGCAAAAATACAGTATCTTGAGCAAGAGAAAGGCCTGATATAATTTTTACTTTAAGTGACCATGCTAGATTCTACCAGCAAGATGGACTATAGAGGGCTGGAGTCAAAACAAGGAGGCCTGTCCGAAGCTCCTGCAGAAATCCAGGCGAGAGATGATGGTGAAGTGGACTATGGTCCTGTCAGTGGAGGTGGGAGAGGGCAGCTGCAGAAGTATGGGGAAGTGACAGGTGACCCAAATGACTCCAAGACCATCCCTGTTTTAAGCTTTTCGATGTCACCTGGCAGCCATGTTTTGGATGACTTGCCTATCGTTACTGAAAGGTGGCAGAGTGCCAGGTTTGGGAGAAATGGCAGAGAACACCAGTTATTTCCCCCAAGCCATTGTCCCTCTCTGCTACAGAACAGGGCTCCTAATTTTCACCTGAGTACCTGTTCATCCAGATTAAAGGACACATTTCCTAATCTCCCTTGAAGCTATGTGTGGCC